GGCTGCTCAGCTCGGGCCAGGACTCGAACTGCTGTTGCTCAGAGCTCAAACTCTTGAGCGAGCTCTTAACCAACTGAGCCACTCAGCCAGCCCAGAAAGAGGGTCTTTTTAAAGTCACTGTCACTCAGGAGCTTCCAGCAAGAAAATAAGCATCTTCCACGGAGGGCGAGGAGGCGCCGCTCAGGCATCTTTCATGGTATTTGTGTCCTGATGCTCCTTCCTAGGCCCCTTCCCCCCGAGGAGCTTACAAAACTCATCTACGAAGCCAGTGGGCAGGATATCAGCATCGCGGTCCTCACGCAGGTCAGCTGGCCGGGGAGGGCAGGGCCGCGGCCTTCTCCGGGCTGCAGGGGCCTCTGCCACCACCCTGCCTCTGAAACGCTTGTCTCCACGTGTATCTGCATCAGGAGATTGTGGTTTACCTGGCGATGTACGTTCGGGCACAGCCCAGCCTCTTCATGGAGATGCTCAGGCTCCGGATCGGACTCATCATTCAGGTGATGGCCACAGAGCTGGCACGGAGCCTGAACTGTTCAGGTACGAAGTGTAGGCAGACCCTCCAGAGGCTCCCTCAGCACCCCCCACCCCCCTACCCGCCCCGGGGAGCCCCACCTAAGTACTCTGGAACCCGGGCTTCTGAGCCTTTGAGCGTGCTTCTGCTTTCCCAGGTTCTCTCATTTAGATGTAAGTTCGCCAGGCCATCCAGCACAGGGTGCTGGATTTCATGTCAGGGAGAATGAGGCACTGGAATCTTCTGCCCTGCTCCTTACTGTAGCTCCTTGCAGGAGCTGTCATCCCCCATTTAATCACACCTCCACTGGGAGACATCCTACCAACTGACATGTGTAAATCAACTGCAAGGCACGTTCCAACATTGGGATCATTACAGTGTGAAAAACACGCATCTGAGAGCTAATAAAATACACAATTTCAACAGTAGCATTTAGAATCACCAAGGATCAATCAGTACATTTCAGCCCTGAAGCAGTGGTGAGGTAATCCTAAACAGGGAGACCTGCCGCAGTGCCCTTTGTCATCACCCCAAGGCCCACCCGGCTCTACCTTCACTTGCCACCAGCCCTGTGTCTGGGACACTTACAGGATATTTGTTTCTAGGAGAGGAAGCTTCTGAAAGTTTGATGAACCTCAGCCCTTTTGATATGAAAAATCTTCTGCACCATATTCTGAGTGGAAAAGAGTTTGGCATTGAAAGAAGCAGTAAGTAAATGCTCATTTTACCTCTGCAGGGAGGGGACGAGAGGGCCTGATGGACGTGTCCCGGGCGTCACCTGGAACTGCTTCATTTATATACAAATCGACATCAGTAATTGCGATTTGGGACATAATGTATGAGAGTAAGGTTCCTACTTGACCAAGACGGACAGGGTCCTAGGTGCAAGGCTCCAACTCTTCGGGCTTTGTGACCCCTCCTTGGCTTACTGAGAGAACTGTGACAACACGTGGGCATGGTGTGCACACAGCCTGCTGCCTTCCTCCTTCTGCCAGGTCCAGGTACCATCACTTGTGCGCCAGTGTTAGGAGGGGTGGGGTGACTAGGGTGTCAGGATGGAAGGGCTGCCTTTTCCAATCACCTGAGTGCCCCGCCTTTGGTTTGGGCAGAAGTGTCCTCAACCAGACCCCAGCCCCCTTCATGGGGCAGGCAAAGAGCCCTCTGCAACCTCACAGCACCTCTTGCTGAGTCAGTTTGCTCCGTCCCTGTCTGGCCTGCTCAGTTTTTATCTGTACCGGAACCCTGCTTGCAGTGCTTGGAAATATAATCACCCAACTCCTGGTGGAATTCTGTTCTCAAATGCTCCCTAATTATAATTGAAGCAATTATCATTTCTCTTCATAATAAAGCAAAATGAATGATTTGCAGACACATTTGTAGATTTATTTCATGAAGCCAAAGAAATGCAGTGTGGACTGTCATTCTTTTTATTTAATAAGAAGGACATTGAGTACTTCATTTTTTTCCCCAGAGTGCATGCCAGCCAGCTAACAAAGACACCTCGTGCAGTCAGATGGGTTTGGGTGACTTTTCTCCATTCCCGAAGGAGGAATGCTCAAGATCTTTTTCCAAAAGTAATTTTCAGTTCTTTCAAATGCACAGTCCTTGAAATGTAAATACAGACGATAAATATTTAATGTGTTCTGCTCATCAAAATGACATACATGCTTTAACACAAATAATTACTAAAAATTTGTTATTAGATATAAAGCTATAGATGCCTACAAAGCTAGGAACAGAATGTTGTCACTTGAAAGCCATAAATATGTCTGATTGCAAGCAAGGCCAGGAGAGGTCCTGTCTTTGGACAGATAACATCATTTGTTCATTGTCCTTTGTAATTGTCCAATTTTTATAAAGTAGGAAACTCAGATAGTCTTAGAATTTTTATTACATCTTGACGTGTCTGAGATAAATATCTCCAGCTAGGGCTCACCCCACACAGGCCCCACTGTAGACTCCCAGACCCCTTTGGCTTCTGTTTTTCACTTTCCCGGTGTTCCTCCTCCCTCTCCAGCTAGCCACTGCGTTTCCTTTGTGGGTGCCTCCCTCTCTGCTGTCCTTTAAATGTTAGTGTCCCCTGACTTCCTTATTTATTTCTATTCCTCCACTCCTGTGTCTTCAGTGGTGGGTTGGGTGGGAAGGTGGGCTGTGTAGGGGAGGTTGCCTGAGACGTGACCTTTGAGGTGGGCCTGCAGAAGAAAAGGGTGTGCCAGGCAGTGGGGACAGAGCTAGGCCTGGAAGGATTCTGAGTGGGCAGTGACGTGATCACACTTGCCTTTTAGGCGCTCATGGTGACCCCAGCATGGAGAACCAGGGGAGTATGGGGCAGGGCGGCAGACAGGTGGGAGTCCCGAGGCCGCGGCAGCAGGTTGGAAGTGAGGTGAGGTGACGGAGGCCTCCTTGCCCCTCTGTGATGGCAGCAGTGCACTGACCCGCAGCTCTGCACCTGCAGCCCTTGGTCGGCTTGTTCTCCCAGGACCTCCCTCTCTGGCCCTCAGGCCCCTTAATTGGGTGGTCTTTTTTCTACAAGGAAGGTGTGTGTTTAGAGAAGTAAAAAAATATATATTTTTTAAAATATCCAATTCATGAAAGGGTTCATGGCCACTCAGTGTTTTCTGCACGCTGCTTAAGCTACGTTCACACTCATCTGTTCACTCGAACGCATATTGAGCCCGGGCTGTGTATGTAGCAGGTATGGTTCCAGGTGCCGGAAACAGCACTGGTCAGGGCAGATGAGGCCTCCTCTAAAGAGTTTATCATCGAGTGGGGGAGAGAAACGTGGATAAAAATACGCACATCGCACATATTCCTTACTCAGGGTGGATGCTATATAGTTTCTAAGAACCACGTGTGTTTCCCCTCCAGTGCGGCCTATCCATTCCTCTACATCCAGCCCTGCCATCTCCATCCATGAGGTGGGACATACTGGAGTCACCAAAACCGAGAGGAGTGGCATTAACAGGCTGAGGAGTGAGATGAAACAGGTGAGAAGAGGTCTCGGCAGCAGCCGCAGCAGTACCGGGAGAGAAGTGGTTTTCCTACCTGGGCTCACCCCAGAAAGTGATAGAAACCCAGGGCATGCAGGGTGCAGCCTGTTCTTTGTAGAGGATGTAACATCCCTTCCGTCCTGGAATCTGAACATACCCTGTACCCAGATATCCCAGAGCCGCTCACGTGCACCCACATATGCTCATCCTTAACTTCAACATGTTATATGAACATTCCAGAAAACGCCCTTCCCCATGTTTGCCTCTGTTGCCAGGCCTCTCTTTCAAGTGGGCCACAGCCATTTAAAAAGTTAGAGTTGTGCAAAAAAGTAACTGAATCAAATGTGTCCTTCAAATCAAATAGCCAGAGGAATCCAGAAATAGAATGGAATGCTTATGATACCTGTATTTTCACCAGCCACAGATATCTCTTTTCTTTGTTCACCTTTATTTAATTCACATAAATTCCTTCTGAACTGACCGCACAGGACTGCAAGTCAACAGGTTTTCAGTCCTAATGTGCTAGTATTGTGCTAGGACTTACTTGACCGTGATCTACAGTAGGAAATAGAGTTTCCTTGTAACCATGACCTGCAGTGAGAAATGCACTCAGATTTTCTTTTCCATTTCAAAGGCTGACCCACTAGATGTGATTAATGAGTCACACCCTGCAGTTGGGCCAATGCTTCCCTGGGTTGTCCAGAGGGTGATAGAAGTAGCAGAGCATCCTTGATTCAAAACTGGTTTTTGTTTATTTCCTGATGTATTTTTACTTGCAGATGACTAGACGATTTAGTGCTGATGAACAGGTGAAACATCTTTGTCTTGTTTCATCCTTCACTGTCTGTATGTGCCTCATGTTCTTTCTGGCTTGAATGTGGAAAGCGAGGCTGTGAATACGGAGAGTCTGAGCACGTGGAGAACCATTCTGCCCATCAAACAGGCTTGGGTGGAGGTAACTCTGCAGCTGGGCTAGGCAGAGTGCTGGGTTTGAAAGCAGGAGAAATGGCCTTGTCCCATGCCTTTAAACAAAATCCATTTATCAGACTCAGGTTTCGCAGGATACTTTGTGACAGGGATGGACCTGGGCTCTGCCTTGCGGGAGTTTCTGTTCAAAAAAAGGGAAACAAATAGGGAAAAGTAAAATGTGGTGATTGATTATATTGGTAGAAAGAATACTGCTATTCCTGTCCCCAGATTGCCTGTGGGGGGCTGGATGGGGGGGGCAATTTAACCCTGGGAGGAAAAAATATGTAAGGCCACCATTCTTTGATATCACCCTATGCTATGCTTCCTCCTCCTTGCATAAAATTAGAGTCATGTTCCTAATGACTGAATGTCTCGATGACTGAGAGGGCATAGAGGGATCGTATAATGCCATGCAGCCTCTATGTTGTCCCAGGGTGAAACACACCGTGCTCGTTCATTCGAATTTATGCCCTTTCCAAGTAAAGAACAGACTTTCCAAACATGTTCCTTTGCCAGCCACTCGGTGGCACCGTCCCTCTGGTTACCTACATCCTCATGGTGGCTGCGGGTGGGGGAATATGGGTGGTTCCCTCTGCCTCCATTTAATGTCGTCCTTTCAGATTATGGGGACAAAATGATCACCTTTCTTCTTTGATATGTTTAGATTCAGTTAGCCAGTACAAGTTTTGTATTTGGCTACTTCCATCAAGTAAACATATTTTCTCTGTCCAAAATTTAATAGATGCCATGGCATTTTCGATTTCTCTTCACCTTTGCAAGAACACCGTGCGTGGGTACACGTGTGTATGCTCAGGCACCATCCCTGTGCAAGTTACGGGTACAGTCTAGATTTTTAGATGAAGAAATACTTATCTGGCCAAAGGTCATCAGCCTGATCTTATTCGTTCATTTAACAAATATATTGAATGCCAGTAGGTGCCAGATGCTAACCGCTGGTGATGGGTATTTTATTGGTCTCTGTAGATTGTCACAACTCTTAACATAAAAGATGAGCATTTCATGAATGTGGCCTGGGAAAATAAATTGGGTCCTAACTTGATGAGGCCCCCTCCACACATGACTAGAACACGGTACCATTTCACAGTGAGGGAAAGAGCATTTCCCAAGTTCACTGCCCTGCCCTGCCGATCTCTGCCCGCATCCTCTGCACTTCCTTTCCGCGGGTGTTTTCCATGCTGTTCTATACTCCTCCTCTCTGCTCGTGTTCTTTGGTGTCACTGCACATGACTGAATGAACTCTTTTTGTCTTGTAGCTCTTTTCTGTGAGCCAGGCCATGTCCAGCAGAGCACATGTCTCCAAGTCTATGGTAAACCATGCGTCCCAACCGCTGTCCTTACCGCCACCTCCCTGTTGGTGGTGACGCCATCTCTTGTTGCCCTTCTGGTGCTTCCACCTCATCCTTAACACAGGCTCAAGTGTTTCCATTTGACTGTCATTATGAGGAGAGTGTAGAAAGAAAGCCGAGAAATTCTTGAGCTGAGCTTTGCTTGGCCCGGAGCTGCTGGATCCTCTGAGGCATTGTTTCTGTGCCTTTCTTTGGAGCCCTGGTGGTGAACCATTACCTGCACGTGCTGATTAGCACTCTACTCATTATGCCCTGCTTGGTGTGAGGCCTCAGACCAAGTGGAAGACTAGGAGGTGTTCAAACTGCAGAGGCGAGTCTGAATCTTCCTCCTGAAATGAGGAGAAAACCAGCTGAGTCATTGATGAGTGCAGCTGTAATTACTTTTATTTGTATCTAATTGTTGCCGTATTTAAATGGAAGTAATGAGCCCAATGGAATAACCCAGCCTAACAGCCTTTTCAAAATAAGATCTGATGAAGTCAGAATGAGTCCATAGAGAACACTCCTGCCTCCTGCCCTGCTAGTGTGCTTAACATTTGAATTTCATTTGCAAACCTTTAAATTTGATGGTGCACATTGAGAAATGAAACTGCCAGATAGCCCAGAACAAAGGTAATATGTAAGGATGAAGGTTATCTCTTTCCTACCTGGAGACCGTAGGCCCAGAGTCCATCCACCAGAAGAAGGTGGGCCTGGAGCCTCGCTGCAGGAAGGAGGGGGCATGGCCTCACCTTCTCTGCTGCTGAGAGGCGGCTCTCCCACATTCAGGCCTGGTCTCCAGTCCCCCACCGGGAGCCTCTCAGAGCTGCCTCCGCCTTTGTTGTGGTGGGGCCTGCCGAGCCAGAGCAGAACTGCTGGCCCTGCCCCAGCGCCTCCCTCAGGGAGGCAAATCCAGCCTCAGGCGAGAAGGCGGGCAGGAGATGACACCCTCTCACCTTTTCCTCAGCAAAGCATGTGTTCCTGGCTTGGAGGCAGCCATTGTCCCCCATCAGGATAAAGCCCTGTGCTGAAAACAGGCAGAGTAGAGAACAGACTGAAAAGGACAGGTGGATATACCATACTCTCTGAGGTCCTCGCTACTAACTGTGGATCGCCAGCCTTTGCTTTTTGTTTTTGGCTCCAGACCCTCCCCCACCCACCCTACCCCCACCCCGTGCTATGTGTTGGCTTCTCTGTGGCACCTGCACTATGGGAAGGTGACTACCACTTCTCTGTGGCACTGCGGAAGTAAAGTGGGCACTTTGACGTTTGCCTCCCGGGGCTGCGGTGCCTCTGGGGGACTCACCTGCTCCAAGAGCCCGGTGGCTCCCTCTAGGCCCTCGCACAGCAGTATCAGAAGGCCTTGGCAGTGACAGCTGACCCCGCTGAGCACTTACCACCAGCCAGGCGTGTTCATGGGGCTTCCTACATCTTCATTCAATGAGCGCTCCTGGCCAGCTCCCTGAAGCCCCTGACTATGCCCCCCACCCTGTGCAGATGAGGCCCAGAGCTACTGTCAGGGTGAGGGATTGCCACAGCCAGTGTTGAGCTGGGATTCGTAGCTAACCCCAAAGCCCACACCCTTACCTGCCCAACCTCCCGGTCAGGTCGGGGTCCTTGCTACCTCGCGGGGCTGGGCGGAGTACATAGAACAAGTTCAGTAACCAAACTGGTACGTGACAGAGTTAATCCAGCTTAAGAAATGGCCCAGGTCAAATCAAGGAACCATGTTCCCCTCTGGGCAAGTGGTGATCTGGTCTTTTGACTAGTTCACTCATGATGGCCGGAGCACCCCCACACACACACCGGCTCTGAGGTTGTTTAAGGCCATGCGCTGTCTGTCTTGCAGAGGTCCAGCACCCCGTCCTCGCCCACTGGCACGTCATCGTCAGACTCAGGCGGGCATCACATTGGCTGGGGGGAGCGGCAGGGCCAGTGGCTGCGCAGGAGAAGGCTGGACGGGGCCATCAATAGGGTGCCCGTGGGATTCTACCAGAAGGTGTGGAAGATCCTTCAGAAGGTGAGCTTGGCCGCTGTGCCACCTTCCGCAGGCCTTGGAGCTGGGGGACACGCGCTCCCAGGGAAATGAACCAGCTCCCCTTACTCCCTTTATGAGGTGCAGTGGCACCTGTAGGTATCTTCAAGTAGCATGTGGCTGGAGAACAAGCCAACACATAGCCCCCAGCCTTGGGCAGCTCAAACCTAGAGCAGGCTTTCCCTACCTTGGCACCACTGACGTATGGGGCTGGGGGATTCTTTTTTGTGGGGGACTGTCCTGTGCACTGAGGGATGTGTGGCAGCATCTCTGGCCTCCATCCGCTAGATGGCAGTAGCACACCCTGCCAGTTATGGCAACCAAAAATGTCTCCAAATATTGCCTAGTGTCCCCTGGGCTGCATAGGCCCCTGGATGAGAACCTCTGGCTGGAACCACAGCAGGTTAGAAGAGGTGGCAGGCCGGGTTGAGTGGGACCACCTTTGACATATTAGGAACGTAAAAAAGTCAGAAGATAGACAAGAACCAGAGAAGGTAGGGGAAACTTTGCACGAAAACATAGAAGATCCAGAACAGCCCCCAGCCCTTAGGCTCCTGCATCTTCAGGCACGTGCATGATCGAATCCTGAGGGCAAACAGAAATGGAGGGCTTCCAATCTGACTCCAGGTCCTAGGTGCCCTGGAGGCACAAGCCCCACATGCCCTGGACTACCTCTGCTTCCCCACCTGGAGGACAGGGATTCAAGACCCACTCACTTTAGCCAACTGCCCACTGCACCTGTGCCACCAGATAGGACTGCACTTCCCGGCTGCCTGGGGCTGTGAAAACCTTTGCAGAGGTCATCAGAAACATGTAAGGTGACAGCCAGAGAGTGTGCTGCATGCACCTGAGCAAGGGAGAGCCAGCCCCAATGCCTATTGCCAAGGCGGGGTCCACAGGGGAAGCCATGCCCCTTTGCTCCCTGCACCCACATTTTGTCCACCTCCTACATCAGCCCCAGAGCATCTGTGTCTCCCTGGGGCCCAGTGGAGTTCATCTTCCTCTTGCCTGGAGGGACAGTCTGCCTGAGTTAAAAGCTTCTATGCAAACCAGGAACCATGCATGGGCAGGACCAATTTTTTTTATATATAAGCTGTTTTTGTTAGCTCATTTCACAGCGGGAGAGGAGAGAAAAGTCATCCCAAACGAGCAAATAAGACAAGCCCCTTCCCAAAGCCACAACACCGCTCTGCTGCGGTATTTATGTGGCAGGGCCCTGGGCCCCTTAGGGAGCCTTTGAGAGCCTGCTGTGTGGGGACCAACGTCTTCCTGACCAAGCTGGGCATGGGGAGGTCAGAGCAGCGCTTGTCCTCATGCAGCTGGGCTCCCGGTCTCCACGCAGGAGCAGAGCCCTCAGAGCCCACCAAGGGCTTGTCAAGAGGCATGAGTCTTTGCTGCCACTTCATCCTGAGCCTCCCAGGGACAGGGGTGGGCAGCAGCTGCCGGCCAGGGCACCGGGATTTAGAAGGCAGCCAATTAGACTAGAACAAACTGTTCCTAGAAAATCTCCCCACTCTTCCTGGGGCATCACACGTTTCCATCCGGACTCCCACTGGCTCAATACCAAGACACTTTTATTATGAAAATGCAGCATTTTGTATTGAGTCGGCTCTTGATATTTATATACATGGGTGTGCATGTGCGTGTCTGTGCATGTGCTCAAGTTTTTTGTGATTGGTGCTTATTATAGAAATCTCAAAAATAGATGCCTGCAAAGGCACAGAAGTATCACTTCGCCAGCAAGAGCCATGAAAATCTCCCTTTATATGGTACCAAATGAGGCCTCTCAGCCAAGTGAAATGGTGAGCTTCCATAGAGGAAGACCCAGCAGCTCCCTGGGGCATTGTTCATGTGAGAGCTGAAACATGCCTGCTGGTTCCCTAGAATTGTTGCATCGATAACAGCCTGTGGGCAGTGAGAACAGCTCTCTAAAAATAAATGACAGTCTGGCATGTTCTAGCCCTCGCGCAGGTTTCCAAGGCAGAGCGACTTGAGTATGTGTGCGTATGCGCATGTGTGCATACTTGTCAATCACATGCTGGAATCTGACTGAAATGTGATGTGTGTATTCTGCCTCCAGTGCCATGGTCTTTCCATCGATGGTTATGTGCTCCCGTCCTCAGCGACACAAGAGGTACGATGGGAAAAACTCAGACGCTGGCCTACCACCATTTCCACCAAGTACTGTATTTCGTGGAATCTGACCACTCATGATTCTTTGAAGCTTCTTACATATAGACAGGCCATTTTTGTAGGTCCGATCTTTTTAGCCACTCAACCCTCAAATTTTGCAAAGTTTCTCTCCTGCATTTATTGGCATCACCTTTTCTCTTGCCCCTCAGAAACAGCATTTCTGACTGTCAAGGTCTTTAGAGTTGCCCCATAAAACCCTATTAAGAGAAAAGAGCAAAGCTGTGTGCCACACATGGACCCACGTGCAGCCTCCTCAGGCCTCTTTCTGCTGACCTCAGTCATCTTCCCTGGTTTCTTGTCCCCTATTTATTCTTTCAAAAATTGATTTTTTAGTTTTTACCATGCCACATTCCATAGTAATGAAGAAAGAGAAATAAGAAATGGTCCCTGCCCCGGGAAGTCACAGTCCAGTGGGGTAGGTAAATGAAGCAAGGCCGACTGCCTCCCAGAGCAGAGCCCTCAGCCTCCTGCTCCAGGAGATTCCTGCTGGCAGAATCAGGACGGTGGCCAGAAAGGAGGCAGCATTTAAGCTGAGCCCTAAGCCCAGTGGGTGCTGTGGTCAGCGTTGGTGACAGGATTGTGTCTGTCCTGACTCGCTCCTGACCCCCTGCCGGTCCCTTTGGAAGATGACCCCACAGGAGATCAAGTTTGCTGTCCACGTTGAGTCGGTGCTCAACCGCGTGCCCCAGCCTGAGTACCGGCAGCTGCTGGTGGAGGCCATCATGGTGCTGACGCTACTCTCAGACTCGGAGATGAACAGCATTGGCGGCATCATCCATGTGGACCAGATTGTGCGGATGGCCAACCAGCTGTTTTTGCAGGACCAGGTGGGTGTGCCCGGGCCTGCGCAGTCACCCCACAGCCCAGGTGGGGACAGAGGTAGGGAAGTCAGGTTGGCTGGCATTTACCGTATTTGCTGGCGTATAAGACGACTGGGCGTATAAGACGACCCCCTAACATTTCCACTCAAAATACAGAGTTTGTTATATACTCGCCGTATAAGACTACCCCCTCTT